AGCCTTGCTGGCTGGGGAATTCTGGGAGTTGAAGTCCACACATCTTAAAGTTGCCAAGGTTGAGAAATACTGATCTAGCCTTTGCCTTGGAGAGACATTTTGAAGAGGCAGGAGAAACAAAAGACCAGATAGCAATTAATTAAAAAACAACTCATAGTTTCTGCAACAAAATCATCTACTTTATTAAGTTCTCCAGCAGGTCTCCACTCATTTTTATCAAAAAGTTCCAAATGTGACTGAATTTCATTTATTTACAGGACTAAACCTCAAGGTTAAAAATAAGGAATTTATGATCTGTTTAACTTTAGCAGCTAAAATAATAATTGCTCAACACTGGAAAACTCTAGATAACATAACAACTGAGATGTGGATTAACAAGGCCGCTTCAACTGCCACATTAGAAAAAATCACAAAGTTAAAATAATGAGACATCAGAGGCAGAAACCACTATTTCATCAAATTTGGATGGATTTTATGATTTACCTCAATAGCAATAGGCTATAACATGGTAATACTTTCCATATGGTAAATTTGTACATGTACAGTACCTGTCTCTTTATTTACATTTTAGTAGATTTTTTCATATTTTCTGTATCTTTTTTTCTCTATGCATCTTGGATTTATGTCCGTTTAATTTCTTGATAATTTTGTTAATCGTGGTTCAACAAAAACAATTTAAAAAGTAACGATTTTGGTCAGGTCATTCTCAGTCAATACATTACCCTTCAGTACATAACAATCTTCTATCATTCATTCTGTTCAGATGCATACCATTTCTCCAGCTCTTTCTTGTCTCTTAACTTTTCTTGCTTCCTGCTGCTTTTTGATTCAAGAGTTTGACTAGACTGTGGACATAAAAACAACCTTAATTTCAAATTTCTCGTTGCTCAATCGGGCAAGGCCAGTTTATAAAAGATATTCAATCAGCCCCATAAATCTTATTCTCTTGTATGGGGTGGAAGCCACCTTCTATGAACAATTTTGTCTGAGGCAAAATAACAAAATTCAAAACACCAAGCAATAATATTGTTAACATCCGGTGCACTCAAGATATTTTTTTTACCTGTAGTTCTAGTGGACTGGTTATCTGTTCCCATATAAAGTTGCCAATTTTTTTTCTAATTTCTACAGTGAATGCAAAAGGAAGAAAGAAAAAGAAGACCATTCAAGGAGGGAAAAGCCATTCAATTATTTATGTGATAACAGGGCCATCCTTCAACAGCAATTATATTTGCTGCCAAATTCACCATGCAAAGTCATTAAATGTGATAGATCTCTTAAAACTGAATAATAGCACCTATTCCCCAGCCTTGTCTGGAAACGTGTATCTGCATCTGGGAAATTTCTAAAAGTTATCATCCCATTCTTACAATATGGTATGAACCTGATATATTTGGAAGAACAAATTGATCTCATTTGCACGCATCATACCCATACATGTGCAAATCCACATTCCATTACATCTGCATTTATAATATATGTAGTTGCATATATAGTGTCAACTGCTCAAGGGGGCTTCCTTGGTAAGTGTATCTGCAATTCTTTTACACAGGTTCTTTCCTGTGGGCCATTGGGGCACCCAAAGCGAAAAACAAGGTGTACATTTCATGCATGCATACACCCATTATAATATGGAAGGAATGGAAGTTCTTTGAACATCCTGGTCACATTTACAATTTTGCATGCAGCCTGCCATCTTAGCTGCATTTCTAGAGAGCTAATTCCCCCCTCTGATGACAGGTATTTGCAATTATTTCAGATTAAATAATCAACAGAGTCAAAGGAGACCTGTTTCCTTCAGATCTTATTACAGAAGATTTCAGGAAATGAATGGATGCAAATGGGACTCCCCTTTGCCTCTCTGGTGACAGCAAAAAAATCTTAACTTGCTATTCTTTGATGGCTGTCAAGTTTGGGGCTAAGAGATGCCATAGTTTGGGACAACTGATAATAACAAGGATGTGCAAATGAAGACATCTCTGTAGTCACTGTGATTACAATCAGTTGCCCCCCCAAAAATTGAAGAAAGATGGAATGGAAAGAAAAGTAAAACTGAAATCCATAGTTGGTACAAATGTATTATTATTATTATTATTATTATTATTATTATTATTATTATTATTATTAAAATTCTTGCTCATTCTGGCCCATACATACAACCTTCTTGCAAGCTGGCTGGTGGGAGAAGGAAATGTCCTAGAGGTACGGTGTTTTTTATTTCAGCGTTGATACTTGCGGTAAGAAAACAGGAATGAAAAACCGTGATTCGGTCTTCTAGATAGTCTAAACTTTGGTGTATTCTAGGCAAAGAAGAAGGAAAATTATAAAAGTCAGGGGAAACAGTTTGACATATTTGACTTGACAAGGGGAAGTGGTGAAAATTTTCAGAAAGAAGCAGAACTTTTATGATAAATCTGGTCTCCCTGTGAGTCAGTGGTACGGTGTAGTAGAGATGTTTTCTTCATCTCTATTAAATATCCACAGCAAGCAAAATCAGAGCATTTTTAGCCAACATGGTGCCCATTTTTGGGGTGTGATGTTTATGCATATGTTTGTTTATTTATATGCACAATTATCTATATGCCACAAGACTCTAGAAGACTCTAGAACAGTGGGTCTCAAACCCAACCAACCTTTATAGAGGTGGAAATTTCAACCCCCCCCCTTCACTCACCACAAACCCAAGCACCGCCC